CTCCTCTTTGTGCTCTTGGTACTGAGGAAAGGGTTTGTTGAAATCTTTGCAATTCACCCTGGAACTCTCTTGTCCTTGCTGTTTGTTGCTTTCCTCCTCAAGTCTTTCCTGTGCATGTGGATCATATGACTCTCCAACCAATATGTTCCTGCAGAATGCCCTGTGAGATGTGGGTTTGTGGCTGCTCCCTGTCCCATACTTGTTACCATGGTCAGAGCCCTCACATATGAGGTATTGCCTGTGGCCCCAGAAGGTAGGACGAAACACGAACTCCAGAGAAGAGCTGAGCAGGAGATCTTGATGCTGAAGGAGATGCTGTTGGGTGCAGGAGAGGTATGTGTATGATGGTACATTTCTGACTTCACTACATGTGAATTACTGCAGTATTGGAAACAAAAACCCTCAAGGTGCCTCATTTACACCAGGCACCTGGAGATGTTGAGATTCTGTGCTGAGCAGGCTGGAAGGAGAGGCACAGAGCTGGGGCCAGGAGCTGCATGGTGTATTTGAGCCTATTAATGGATGAATGAATGTGATAGTCATCCCTCCGCATCCTAAGCATTATAAATGGAGACAGGGTGAAGAGTTCACCTTCCTCTCCTTTGAAACCACAGTTTCTGCCAGGGCAGGTGATCCCTCTTCTCCTCCTTCATGGTCCAGCCCTTACAGTCCTGCCTCCTGCCATACCTACAGGTGTGGGGATCCTCTGTGCTCGCTCCTAGGAATTTATTAGGTTAAAAATTTGTTATAAAGCCTAACCACAATGAACACAAAGACCCAGCAAGAATTAGAGTGGCAATACCAAGTGGAGCAACCAGTAACCTCAGCAGTGCTGACAGAGCTCCACACCTGCTCACTGTGATTGTTGGAGGAGAGTGATCAGCCCCAGGCCCCCAGTGAAGCCCACTGAAAAGTCAGTGCGGCCACCCCCTCCCCAGAAGGTGCTGCAAACTGGAAGGGCTGAGCACCTGCAGAGGTGTGGGACTCATGGGGGGCTGCAGGGCAAAAGCATTTGGGGATGTGTAACTTCTTATAAGGTGGTTTAAGGATGTTGTGGAAATGTGCAAGACTTACGGGATATTTCAGGGAAGAATCAAAGTTGGTTCTGTGGAGGCAACCCATGTGAGGGAAAAGGGGATAAAAGGGGCTGGTCCTGGGTAACAGCTGGCTGGTCAGTACACTTGTCTGAACAAGCACTTCACCTGATCACCACAGTCTATCCTACTGTATCACTGAATATTCTTACATAATAAAAAGAATAATTATTTATTACTACTACTAATACTAATTACCCTACCATTCTTTCCATCCTCCTTCTGTGTGGGCACACCCTCTATTCTGAGCCCATGTGACAGACCACCAGCAACCTTCAAGCCAGACTAGTGGGCAGCAGCACGAGAGACGAGTGATGGTGGCTGGAGAGGGACCACGAACCTCAGAGGATGGAGGAGGCCGGCCAGCACCTGGGGAAACCAGGGGCTGAGGCCAGCTCTGGGACAGACTAAGTAGCTAATGCCAGCTACTGGAGAGACTCATTTTCCATGTGTGGGTACATATTTCACTAGTGGATGTTAGTCCTGACCAGACAGAGAGGAACAGTACCTGCCACTGTTCATGTGTGTGTGAGCGCAGTGCGTGTGTGCGTGTGTGTGTGCGTGTGTGTGAGTCTACGTGGCTGTAGGCACAGTGTAAAGGCACTGCTGGCGAGGTGTGTGTATGTGTCTGCACCTCCTGGTAACCTGTCGTCAGCCTTGCTGCAGGCTCGACCTGGGAGCAAGGAGCTGCAGCAACCTCACATCAGCTGGACAGGGGCAGGAGAAGACCCCCAGGCTGCTGTAGCAACAGGATCTGGCTGCCCTTGACAAAACATGACAGAGAAAAATGCACGCTGCTCCTTGTGCAGGGACAGATTCAAGATTTAATGGTAGACTACTTTGTAGATGCTGGCATGGCATGGGGGTGTCAGGCTTATTCACAGCAGAAGAGTCTCATGTCATTGAAAGCTGTGTCATCCCCCTTTCCTTGGGGTTCCTCCACCTTTGTCTGGAGCCCACAGATGGCCCCGGAGGTGCAGCTGCTCCATGGGCCGAAGTGGCCTCCTGAAAGTCCCCAGCCCTCCAGCTTTGTCCCATCTGAGCAGGTGAACCTCACGTTGTTGGCTGCCGTGTCGTCACGCAGGTGCTGCCTCTCCTCCACACGCAGTGAGAAGGAAACCAGCTTGTTGCTGGGGCAGAACTGGGCCTTGGTCCAGTTTCCCCACCTGCCAGGAAAGAAAACAGCCTCTGCTGTGCTGCAATCAACACCACAACTCCCAACACAGGGATGGTGGGTTTCTATGAGCTTCCCCACCACATCCCAGGTGCCTGGCCACCATCAACCCTGGGCTGCCCTGTTGCTGCAGAACCCCTTGGGAATTTCAATTGCTTGCTTTGTCCTTGCTACTTATATCAATGTTGTTTTCTAAGCAAGCATTTGAGGAAAAGGAGAAAGTACAGGTTTAAGATCTGCATTTTTTGAACTCTCCTTCATCTTTCAAAGTACTATTCCCTCCCCTGGGACCAGATCTCTACCCTAAGACCTTCATACTTTGTGGCCAGGGGGGGATCTCACCCACCTCCTCAAGAGGGCTGGGGAGCCACCTTCACAGGGGGTGTGGGTACCTATGAAGAAACCATTGTGCTGGTTTTTCTTCATGCTCCCCAGAAACTGCTCTGAAGGAGGATGAGAAAGTGAAGTCTACTTACCGCCCAACAGAGGACTCGATGACCGTGCCGTCTGTGCAGAACAGGCGGACGCCGTTCAGAGCTGTGTCATCGCCAAACAGCCAAAATCCCTGGTAGGGCTCCACCTCAAAATAGTAGAAGAAAATGGGAGAGGTCATCATCCTCTCCTATTTAAAAGAAGAGATGAGGTGAGCCCTTGTGACGAGGCGTGGTAGGAGGCTCCAGGGACAGAGCCAGACAGAGGTAGTAGTGTTGAGCAGGGCTGTGAGGCAGCTCCATGTCATTTCTCAGGGAGCCCTTTTTGCTATTGCCCACCTCTGCTTTTTCTCCAAACTGCAGAGCAGAGGCTCTGGACCCAGGAATGCTTGGTGGCTGCTGTCCTGAGTCATGCCCACCCTCTTGTCGTGCTGTAACACCCAGAGCTGGAGTGCTGGCAGGTGGGGATTGTCCCAGCCCCTTGGGAATGGGCTCTGCAGTACTGACCCCACGTCTTTTCTTACCACATGGGCTCCTCTGCTAAGAAATTGCTCACCGGCACGGAGCCTGGAGAGCTACTCTATGCTAGAGATTTCTTGCTGATAAGCTTGCATGAGTGATGCAGATACAATGCAAACTGCTGCGAAGGGACAAAGTGTTCTGTCTAGCCCTGCTGAGACCTGAACAAAATAACATCATTTCACAGCAGGTTTTTTTCCCACCCCAAAGAAGGAGTGAAACCTTACCTTCACTTCAAATCCCTTAGCGTAGCCACTGGGACAAAAGCGTTCGTGCCCCCAGGACCCCCAGGGTCCTCCGTTGGGCACTGAGAGGATGGACTCATATTGCCGTGCCTCCGTGACCTGGAGGCAGCAGGAGCCCAGCAGGCAGAGGATGGCTGGGATGAGCAGCTGCATCATGGGGGACATGCTTAGCGCCTCGCTGCATGGAGGTGATGGCACGGGAGAATTTATGGGCCAGGAGAGTGGGTGGGAGTCCTTGGAGAGTGTAAACAAACCCCATGGGGAGTAGTAGTTGTTGCTATGTACCGCTTCTGTTGACTGCCTGTCCCTCAGTGGTGGGGCCACCCTTGCCAGGTGGAAGGGGTGTCACTGGTGTGCGCTGGCCAGGGGACTTGCAGGGCTGTGAAAACTTGTGGATGTGAGGGAAGGGAAGGGGGGAGAGTTGGGACCACTCCCCAAGGGAGTGCTGTGGTTTGGAGGAGGGTCCTGGCAATGCTGCGAGGAGGGTGTTGGAGGGAGTGAGGTGGGAGGAGTGGTGGACTGGAAGGGGAAGAAACCTTGGAGGGGCTGAGACGAAATTGAAGTGGAGTGGTCTCAGGGTGCTTTGCCCTGTGGAAGTCATCAGTTGCTTCCTCTTCCTTGCTTTTCTTCTGTCCTCATCATCCCATTGGGGTTGAGGGAAGTGCCTGCACTGGAAGCCATTGCATTTTGCTCTGGGACATGCACTAAGTGTAGGTGACTATGTAAAGTGTAGCAGCCCCTTCTCATGGGGGCAAGGGCTCCTGCTGCCAGCGTAGCATGTAGCCTTTGCTGAACTCACTCAAGGTTATTCATGTCTTTCTTGTATAGGGGCAGGGGAATGGGAGCAAAACTCTACACAGTCCCATCATCACATGGTCTTGTGCAGACACAGCTCCCAGCTGCTCAGGTGTATCTTTGGGAGGTGTGAGCATATAGGAGGATGGGAGTTTCCAGCAGAAGCAGACCCCACTTCTACTGTTGTTCCGCTCTCAGACATGAGTTCCTGTTGCATGCCCTGTTCCTTCAGAAGGACTAGCCAGAGAAAAAACCTCTGCTGACAACAATATTCGGGGGTATCCTGTGAGTAATTGCAGAGTAGGAGATTAAGCTGCTCACAGTCCCATTGAAGAGACAGTGATGATGCCACCTGGGAGAGCTGTCCTGTGAGGTCTATACCAGCACTATATCCTACACTATGAACACTGCCAACATAGGGAGAGTTATTCCAGGCTTCGTTTACTGAAGAATGGAATAGCTTGCTTCTGTAATAGCCATTTTGTGCAGGTGAAAGAGGAAGTGTTGCTTTCAGCTGAAATCCCTGATGTTTACCCCTTGGGTAAAATCGTAAAGATACTCAGTTACTCACAGCACCCAATGGGAGACAATGAGGATGAAGATGTCTTATTGTGTCATTGTATCTCATAGGCAGCAGGAACCCAGCAGAAAGAAGACAGTAGGGATGAAGGGCTGTGTGGTCTAGGTCCTGGTCTGGAGAACAGTTAGCTCAGGAATACTTTGCTGCTCCTGGTGAGATAGGCCTTTCTAAGCTTGAGGTGTTGACTGGATTTCCTCAAAAGAGTGGCAGCAACCACAGCAAGAGCAACAGGCCATTGCCAGGTACCATATCCAGTAAAGAGCTGTGACTAAGTGATATGATTAACTCTTTTCATTAACCATGCTGGGTGCATGATGAGTCTTTCAGGATATGCGGAAAGTTATGGCTTTAGGGCGGAGCAGTGGCAGAGACATCTAGAACTGTAAAAGGATCTTAAGGAGAAGCAGTGAAGAGGAGCTAGGTGGGGGAGGAAGCTCCAAGCTGGCTGAAGCCAAAAAGGTAGAGATGTTTTACAGTCTGAGGTTATATCCACAGAGATGAATCTCACTCTGCTTGTCTGTAAATCTCACTCTATTTGAATCCCTCTTACTGAGAGGATCTGTTTTCTTTGTCTTCCACTTTCACACAATTTCTCCTTTTTCCTCTCTGTCAATCAGTCTCAGCTCCAGCCCCTGCGGTCCTTCCACTGCAGGTGGGAGAAAGGGAATTCTGGCTGAGAAAAGACCCTATTCAGCATCTTTGCTGATTTTTTTGTTGCTTCCTTTTGGCTGCCTGGGAAGGAGGTGGCAGAAGCAGTGGCACCGGGTCAGTGATTCTGTGATATTCCAGCAGGAAGCAGTGAAAACAATTCACACTAGTAATTAACTCTGCCTGTGGGAGAAAGCGGACACTGTATGCATTTCTATAACTTCCGAGTGGGGAGCTAAAAAACAAACAAGGAACTAATCTAAGCCTTATGTTTCCCTCTCTTGTCTCTCATCAATTTTTAACCTTCCAGAGTGATGAACCCTCTTCTTCAGTCAAAGAAAACTTTTTTCATTTTTTTTCCCCTCTAGAAAACCTTCCCAGCACTAGGAGTAAGGTATGGACTGGAATGAAAATGCTGGGATCAGTATCAGCACTTGAATTTGTGCTGCTGGGGTGCAGGGCCAATGAATACTTTTGGATAAATCTGCTCACATACCGAACTTCCTGAGTATCCAGTGATGTCTCCAACATCCCTGCTAAAGAACTTTTTGTCATGTGGGGAAGCTCTTTCTCTTCACCTCCTGCTTCTTTTTCTCTTCTGTTAACCTGCAGTCCTCCAGTCAGGCAGGGCAAGTACCAGCTTGCAAGCCCAGAAGGGATGGGTTTCTCATTATGTTAAATTGGAAAGCTGGAGTTTGAACTGCTCAGTGAGTCTGACAACTTCTTTGCTGGTTAGCTTTGGCAGATAGTTGTAGGATCATGTTATGCGACATATAATTTTTTTCTTTTAATTAAGTTATTGGAAAGCAGGATAGCATTAGACTCAGCAATAGAAGTGAAGACATGGTGGCCAGTATAGAACAAAGACCAGTTCTGTATTTTTGCAAACATACAAACCAAAAAGAAATATCTCTTATTTTTTTGACACCGTAACTCCTTACGAGAAAAACAGAGCCAAGAGCTACAATGAAAACAAAACCTTTGAAAACAGTGCAGGTCCTCAAAATGATCAGAAATAATCAGAACAGAGAAAGGTACTCACAGAGCCAAAATTTCAGGATAAAACAGAGAAGTGCTTGCAGTGGCCTTGTTGACATTGCCTATGTGCATTCACATTGTAGATACCTGAGTGTAGGTTAGGTGAATCCCCTGTTCTGTGGGCCAGAAGGTATTTTGTTATTTACTGCCCATTTACAAGATGATGGGGCTCTCCAGGGAAGGCACAAGAGCTGTGTTCTCAGTTGGCCTTCTTCTCTATCAACATAAACCTTCTTCAATGATGGTGAGAAAAAGTTACTTTAAGTTATATGGGGACTAAAAACATTCTTGCAATGGCCTTTGTAATGCCATTGGAGATAAAGCCAGTTAATCTGTTCCCACATCTAGAAACTAAAGATAGTTTTTGGATAAAAGATCTAGTTTCAAGCATTCTTTGGTGCTGCCCATGTCAGCCTTTGAAGGGTATAGCACTCATGCTGCTGTCATGTCTGTTTAAAAACAGATGCAGAGGCTCAAAACTTTCTGTGCTACTAATGGTGTTCTTTGAGGGCCACGGGACAGGCACTGGCTGACACTTTTGGTGCACCTAGACCAGATACACAGGCACATTGCCAGCTGGGTGAGGGACAGCACTACTTGTCTGCAACGTAAGAGTGGTGAGGCATAATTCCTGTGACTACATGAGAAAAGTGATGTTTTCCTCTCTTAGAAACATCCCCAATAACACAAAGACATTAGACTGAGGCAGAGACTGTGACTTCTCACCACTCTCAATGCAGAGCAGCTACTGCTGAGAATTAGTTCTCCGAGGCAAAGGTAGAGGCAAAGACGTCTTTCCCTTTCACAGTTTGTTTGTTTGTTTGTTTGTTTGTTTGTTTGTTTGTTTGTTTGTTTGTTTCTTTCTTTCTTTCTTTCTTTCTTTCTTTCTTTCTTTCTTTCTTTCTTTCTTTCTTTCTTTCTTTCTTTCTTTCTTTCTTTCTTTCTCTATTCTATTGATTGGTGAGGCCACGGAGCTGTGGTTCAGGTTCATCTAAGTTATGACATCCCCATTTATTTACCTATACAACAGTCCACCTGTGACTTCTGTGTCTGAGCTGCTGCCTCTGTCGGTGGGGATGCACAAGCTCGTTGAAGTCTAGAAACTGAATCCACTGAACAGCCCTTTTGCAGCTGATTCAGCTGCCTGAGGGCAGGTGTCTAGTGCCACTGGAGACTCTGTAGCACATACTCTCTTACTTCTGCTTACCAAGCCAGAAGGTGCATGGGGTTCTTTTAGGCCTGGTAATAAGAAACTGTGGTCTACATTATGCTTCTCTGTACTATTTCCCTCCCCCCCCCTCCATAGTTATGTCTTTCATATTTCATGATAATAATTTCTTATGTCTCAGCTGAATCCAATATCTATGGAGAGTCTTCATGAGGACAGAGAAGGTTGATTCTGGAGAGAATCTGTAATAGGGAAGTGTTGGCAGTGGTTACAGTCATTATTAAAAGTTGCCTGTGAAATAGCAAGTTTATCACATTGTGCGGTGAGCTAATGCTGGCTGGCTGCCAGGTGCCCACCCGGCCACTCTCTCTCCCCTTCCTCAGCAGGACAGGGACTCAAAACGAGATGAAAAGCTTATGGGTCAAGGTAAGGACAGGTAGATCACTCATCAGTTACTGTCAGGGGAAAAACAGATTTGACCTGGGGAAGGTTAATTTAATTTATTGACAATTAATGACAGAGTAGAATAACAGGAAATAAGAACAAAACAGAAAATACCTTCTCCCCACCCCTCTCTTGTTCCCAAGCTCAACTTAACTCCTGACTCTTTACCTCCTCCCCTCGAGTAGCACAAAGGGACAAGGAATGGGGGTTGCAGTCTGTTCATAACATGTTGTCTCTTCTGCTCAACTTGTTCCCAAGCTCAACTTAACTCCTGAGTCTTTACCTCCTCCCCTCGAGTAGCACAAGGGGACAAGGAATGGGGGTTGCAGTCTGTTCATAACATGTTGTCTCTTCTGCTCCTTCCTCCTCATGCTCTTCCTCTGCTCCAGCGTGGGTCCCCACCTACAGGAGACAGTCCTCCATGAACTTCCTCAATGTGTGTCCTTTCCACGGGCTGCAGTTCTTCACAAACTGCTCCAGTGTGGATCTTTT